GTCCCCCCAAAACTGGAGCTGAGGATCAGACCTGCCCCACACCTGTGCGAGAGGAGGTTCAAAGCTTCACAGCTGAGAAGGAAAAGGAAGAGGCCTGCTCAGATGAGGAGGAGGAAGAAGAGGCCTGCTCAGATGAGGAGGAGAAGGAAGAGGTCTACACAGCTGAGGAGGAGAAGGAAGAGGCCTGCTCAGATGAGGAGGAGAAGGAAGAGGTCTACACAGCTGAGGAGCAAGTAGAACAGGCTCAGGTGGCAAAACCATCTGGTCAAAACACTGAATCTGTTCTGTGGGACCCACTGATTTGCCAAATCATTGTGAAGATGTTCTTACGCAAAGTCATGAAAAATTTCTTCCCCGATCAGACCTACAAATCAGCTGAAGCCAGACTGACAGACATGCTGTATGAAAAGATGAGTGGTACTTCTGTTCATGTGGATTTGAGCCTGAAAAGCATCAAAAAGAAATGCAAAGCTGTGTACAAAGAAGTGCTCAAAAATGTTGATGCTTCAGTTCTTTGGTTAAATCTCTTGGAAGAGGATCAACCACTCCTTGAGGCTGTGGCTGAGGCTCTAATGAAGCATTTTTCATCAGAAAGACCCAGCTCCATCCAAAAGTTCTTCAGATGTCTTCTCCGGACTTTCACTTCAGCTTGGACCCCCTGGGCTTCCCGCCTAACTGCAGCTTGTCGCGCATGAAGTCCTAGATGGATATGAGGACAGACTTCAGGCCCATACATGGCCACCAGCGAATGGGTTTACTCCGAGTGCTTCGGTTTCTCCCAACACAAGACTAAAAACCTTGAAAAAAAATAAAAATAAAAAATAAAATAGCAGAGTGGCGCAGTGGAAGCGTGCTGGGCCTAAAACCCAGAGGTCGATGGATCGAAACCATCCTCTGCTAACCATGCTGGAAATGTGCAGCTGCTCCGTTCATGTCTCCCACAGGTGACGTTTCTTCTTCATCAGAATTGGCCATTTTTAATCAAAAGATAATGACACAAAAATCATTGGGACATACCTGCATGTCCTGGATCCTAGGGTTGACAAATAACTTAAGGATCCAGGACATGCAGGTATGTCCAAATGATTCTCCCATGAAGCTAAGATCATATTCTGGATGTAGGTGCAAACAGAAATGAAATGTGATGGAAAACTGAGCACAAATAAGCTATTCTAGCCATTTTTCATATCAATATGGGATAACATACAAATGAAAACACTCAAAAAAAGCATTTTGCACTATGAGGAAGTAATATTTTACACAGGCAGGCAAGTGGGCTCCAGATTAGTGCTGGACGATAATTCGATAACAATATATATCGATCGATAGACGTGTGGTGCGATAGAAAAAAAACGGGTCGATAAAAAGTTTGATAGAAAAACACAGTTTCCCTTTCTTTTTCATCATAGCCTATCATGTAGCTTTTACTACAGTCATTACTTCCTCCCAACCAATCACAAACGCAGACCCAGGTACGCTACGGCACCAAGCCCAGCCCCTCTCAAACCACAACAGACAGCACGTGTATTAGAAAAAATGATACAGCAAGGAGAAGCGGAGGACATTGTCAGTAGTTCACCAGCATGGCAATGTTTTGGCTTTTACAAGTCTGACAAAAAGCGAACAGCGGTCGTTTGCAAAATTTGCAGAGAATTAGTAAAAACCAAGTCTGGTAACACAACCGACTTGTTTTACCATCTAAACCGATCGCACCCGCAGGAGTACGAGCTGTGTCGGCCGCGCCGCGGCTCCACGTCGTCGTCGGAGGAGGAATCCTCTGGAACCGCTGCCAGCACCAGCACAAAGCATGTGAAGCCGACCAAACTGGACTTCGTTTCTTGCCAAAACTACGACAAAGCGTCCGAGCGGCATAAGGACATCACCCATGCAGTAACATGCTCCATAGCGAGGGACATACTGCCAATAACTACCGTTGAAAAGCCTGGCTTCGACCAGCTTCTAGCCACTCTCGACCCGCGATATGAAGTGCCCGGCCGCAAGTATTTCTCAAACACAGCGCTTCAGGCATGAAAATGGGTCAGGGGTTGAAAAGGTGAGAAGGGTGCGGAGGAAATACGTTCCGGTGTTGGGCCGTAGAATGCATCCCTGCATCCCGTCCACTCATTAGCTTCTTAAAGTGGAAGAAAATGAGCTGATATTTTACAAAGACGCGAGTATTTGGATCATGGCTACTAGCAGGGGGTGCATTCGGCAGGGATGCATTCTACGACACAACACCGGCGTGGATAAGTCCTGCTTCTCGTGCTCAGTTTGTGTATTAAGTCAATCACATGATAATTAAAAAAGATAAATCTCCCGACCCCGGGAGAAATATTTCAGTGTTCAGACACCAGGCTGTGGGCAGTTTCCCACACAGTTAAAACTGGTAGTATGCTATTCCCACCTAAAGCTATTCTGTTTATTGAGTGGGATTGCGAAGCATTCCCACTATATGTTATTCATATCTTTATTATTATTATTCCACCGTTTTTTGTGCCCTAACTACTTCCACATACTTCAACGTATTCAAACCATTCAAATATCAAAAGATTCATCTCATTGAGGACATTCAGGGGTGTATTCAAAATTTTCCTAACATTCATACTTTCCGAGATATTCCAGGTTTTCCGACCCATTTCTCCCATTAGAAATGCATTACGGAATGTTCAAATTGGCCCTTCAAATTGCGAGTGGGATTGCTTCAGTCGAAATTGCTAGCGCTAAGCTGCTATTGCAAATGGCTGAATCTTAAAGATATTTAAATAGTAAAAAGGTATGAAGTATGAGGAATATTTGATTCAATTTGAATAAACTCAATTGAATGAATTGAATCATGCATGAGTATTAATTTTGAAAATTTAACGTATGAAAATTAAAATGATTAAAAACCCTGAAGCATGGGAAAGGCTTGAAGAATCCATAAGGTTTAAATCAGTTTAAATGAGTTGGAATTTGTTTGAAAGAACTGAAAAATGCATAAAGAGTAAAAAATATTTAAAACTGAAAAATTAAAAGGTTACAAATCTGGAAGAAAAAGAAGTTTAAAGAATCAAAACGCTTTAAATCAGTTTGAAGAAGTTTTAATTAGTTTGAAGAGTTAAATAATGCATTTTCAATGAATGATTGAAAAAATGGGGACAATGTAAATGAATAAAAATCCTGATTAGACCCCATAATGTCCTCAGTGAGCTGAATTTATTAAGCCCTGGATGGTTTCTGTAGCTCAAGGTTTGTGCGAAGAGATAGATGACAAATTTCGTCAAATAACTCTATTGAAGGGTTTTAAATGTAACCCCCAGTACTCTGTGTACTGAGCCTGGCTTCATGTGTCTCATATGGCTGTTAGAAGCAGCTTTCCAGCCAGCTGTGTGTCTCCAGGTGCTCCCTTTGGTTGCCATGGGGACGATAGATGCTTAACAACAGCAGGAGAAAGGAGGCTTGCGGCTGAGAACGTAATGCCCAAACAACGTCATATTTCTCATCCTCTGTAACTGCTATCTCCATGATAAGGAGCTTGTGGGAACCACAAGACCCGGCTGAACACGTTGATACAACTTCTGTGTCTTTGGAGCCAAAAATGCCTTCACTACGACGAGTTAAAAACATGTCCAGTTCATGTTTCCTCTGAAAATCCTCCTCTCAGGTTTATATTGGAGTCAATGGAGAAAGCTGGAGAAATCTGGGGGATGTCTGCGGCAGTTGGTGTCTGCCCAGGCCACTGTGTGTGTCCTATTGCTTTGATTTTTGAGATGAAGATTGACAGCAAGTTTTGCCATCACTGTACCAATTTTTATCTGTGTAGAGCGAAGTGAGTTGCCACAATCCTTTTGTAAAGACAAAGTTTTGAGGATCAATTTTCAGCCCCTCTCACTCTAGCTGTGAGGTCACCCACTCTAGCGGCCAACATTCCGTGCAATACACACTAATGTTAAAACCTGAACAGGTCTGAAAATCTTTGGACTTTTTGAACTGTCACTGTGAGAAAAGTATGAATGCCATGAAGATGGTGAATGAATGAGTGAATGTCTGAAGATGTGTGAATATTTTAAAGTTTGAATGAAGTTTCTAGGTGAAAGTATGAATGAATGAGAAGAGGTTGAAGTTGACTACGTCTGAAGCCCTTTTCCTATTGACTGCCATTATAATGAAGTTTTAAACTAATCTTAATATTTTGAAAAGTACAAATGGGATTAAAAATGTTGAAGATGTAGAATAATGCTGACGAATTTGTGAATATTTTGGTTTTTGAATGAAGTTTCTATGTGGAAGTATAGAGGAGTTGAAGGCTTTTGAAGTTGTGTGAAGAAAATGTGAGAAAAGGGCCAATTTGAACATTCCGTAATGCATTTCTAATGGGAGAAATGGGTCGGAAAACCTGGAATATCTCGGAAAGTATGAATGTTAGGAAAATTTTGAATACACCCCTGAATGTCCTCAATGAGATGAATCTTTTGATATTTGAATGGTTTGAATACGTTGAAGTATGTGGAAGTAGTTAGGGCACAAAAAACGGTGGAATAATAATAATAAAGATATGAATAACATATAGTGGGAATGCTTCGCAATCCCACTCAATAAATAGATAAATAAAAAAACAAAGAAAAAAACTGCTCAATAATGACAGGGAATCGTTTTTTTGTTTCCCCATATAGTTTCATATTTTTATATTTTGCATGACATTAAGTTTTAGGGTGTGGCAGAATTTAGTTGTGATCCGTTGCCATAGCAACGTGGAATTCCAGGAGGAAGCCTCAGCCAGCCCTGCAGTGACATCAGCTATGACATCACAGTGATGACATCAGAGCTATGAAAAGCTTTGATGTCATCACAGTGATGTCATCAGAGCTTTGAGGACTTGAGGTCGAAGGCATTCAAAGGCAGCATGAGAGCGAGTGTTTAACTGCACCGAGGTGAAGAAAGACCAAATTGGACTTTGCTTTAAGATCATCGCTTAAAGAGACGCAATCATTTTAAAACAGCTAACAAACACAAACGCAGGTATGAGTCTCATCAGCACACCAGAGAGGATGGAACTGAATTTTTATCTGGCCTCCAAAGAGACTCTTAGGCCAGTCGTCCGTGCGTTCATGAACCAGCTGACGGCAGAAAACTGGCAGAGACTGGAGACTGGGCGTCTTGACCCAGAGACAAGTACTCGCGTGACAGCTTTGTGTGTAAATGTTATTGAAATTTTGGCTCAAAGTCTGCATGAGTCTCTCAACAGAAGACTTGAAAAACAGAAAGACTGGTCACCAGGATCTGCTAAATCTGTGTGTAAGGAGGACGTGCGCGAATGTTTAGGGAACATGGGTGAAGTCATCGCACAGACTGTGGCAGAGGTACAGGGTGTAGGAGACATCCACTACCCTAAGAGCGGGCGGGTGACAGAGCTCATGGTCACAGCAGTCACAGAGAGAGTCAACTCCAGGCTGTCTAAAACAAGTGACAGTGACGACTCGGAGGAGCACAAGACTTCCCCCACTATTCTAATCAAACTGAGGGGACACTTCAAGAGGATTCTCAAAAACTGCTACGAAAGGATGAAGACAATGTTGCACCGAGTCAAATCAACCTGCACTGTGCAGGAGAAGGAAGAGGTGGTGGTACCCACTCAGACCTCTGTAACTTCTCTGCAAGAAGAGAAACCAGGCAGGGCCGAGTCTACGGTCAACAAATCCCCGACTATTTTTCATGTGACCAAAGAAATCCTGGAGCAACAACTGGAAGAGATTGTTCATGATGCTCAGAGTTACTCCACAGAGGAAGAAGATAGCCTGCTTCTTTCTCAAACCAGCAAGGACTACGAGTTATCAGAGTTATCATCTCAGATTGTTGAAAATTTTACAGAGGATGTTCCACAGGACCTGGCTGGATGTCACACAGAAGATCTCTTAGGATACCGCAGGAGAAAAGTCATCAGGCAGATGAGGACTGTCTTTGTCCAAACATTTGCTCGAGGGTCAATCCTGAGCATGATGTCTAAATTCAGACGCAAGCCGGCCTCCCGTAAAGAACAGGAAGCTGTGAAATTAGTCAATTCACAGCTGATTAAGAGTGTGGATGATCTTTTAACAGAGTTCATTACAACAAACAATCAGGTACCAAGTCGTGGGTCATTAGAGGATTGCCCCTTTGAGAAATTAGCCAGCATCTTTTCCGGTGACGAGCTGGAAAGTTTTGCTGAAAAGCTGAGTGACACATTGGCCAGTCACTTGACACCACCAAAAGTCCAAGAAAAAACACACCGAGAAGAGATTCGTGCTGGAGTAGACAAGATCCTTAAAGAGACGAGGAAGTGGCTAAAGAAGCAGAGCCGACTGCGCAAGATTAGGAAGGACTGTGTGAGCATGACTCTCAAGAAGTTCAGGAGATTTGTGCAGAATAACCAGTCAGATCTCAGTCCCCCCAAAACTGGAGCTGAGGATCAGACCTGCCCCACACCTGTGCGAGAGGAGGTTCAAAGCTTCACAGCTGAGAAGGAAAAGGAAGAGGCCTGCTCAGATGAGGAGGAGAAGGAAGAGGTCTACACAGCTGAGGAGGAGGAAGAAGAGGTCTACACAGCTGAGAAGGAAAAGGAAGAGGCCTGCTCAGATGAGGAGGAGGAAGAAGAGGCCTGCTCAGATGAGGAGGAGGAAGAAGAGGTCTACACAGCTGAGGAGCAAGTAGAACAGGCTCAGGTGGCAAAACCATCTGGTCAAAACACTGAATCTGTTCTGTGGGACCCACTGATTTGCCAAATCATTGTGAAGATGTTCTTACGCAAAGTCATGAAAAATTTCTTCCCCGATCAGACCTACAAATCAGCTGAAGCCAGACTGACAGACATGCTGTATGAAAAGATGAGTGGTACTTCTGTTCATGTGGATTTGAGCCTGAAAAGCATCAAAAAGAAATGCAAAGCTGTGTACAAAGAAGTGCTCAAAAATGTTGATGCTTCAGTTCTTTGGTTAAATCTCTTGGAAGAGGATCAACCACTCCTTGAGGCTGTGGCTGAGGCTCTAATGAAGCATTTTTCATCAGAAAGACCCAGCTCCATCCAAAAGTTCTTCAGATGTCTTCTCCGGACTTTCACTTCAGCTTGGACCCCCTGGGCTTCCCGCCTAACTGCAGCTTGTCGCGCATGAAGTCCTAGATGGATATGAGGACAGACTTCAGGCCCATACATGGCCACCAGCGAATGGGTTTACTCCGAGTGCTTCGGTTTCTCCCAACACAAGACTAAAAACCTTGAAAAAAAAAAAAAATAAATAAAATAGCAGAGTGGCGCAGTGGAAGCGTGCTGGGCCTAAAACCCAGAGGTCGATGGATCGAAACCATCCTCTGCTAACCATGCTGGAAATGTGCAGCTGCTCCGTTCATGTCTCCCACAGGTGACGTTTCTTCTTCATCAGAATTGGCCATTTTTAATCAAAAGATAATGACACAAAAATCATTGGGACATACCTGCATGTCCTGGATCCTAGGGTTGACAAATAACTTAAGGATCCAGGACATGCAGGTATGTCCAAATGATTCTCCCATGAAGCTAAGATCATATTCTGGATGTAGGTGCAAACAGAAATGAAATGTGATGGAAAACTGAGCACAAATAAGCTATTCTAGCCATTTTTCATATCAATATGGGATAACATACAAATGAAAACACTCAAAAAAAGCATTTTGCACTATGAGGAAGTCATATTTTACACAGGCAGGCAAGTGGGGCTGACTCCAGATGAGGTCAGGACTGTATAATGTGTCAAATATGCCGATTTTCCACCTAACGAACCACACGTTTTGACTGATTACTCAAAAAGTGATGGAATGCCCATCCTGAAACTTGCAGGGATGCTAGTGGACATGATCGTCTTTCTTTAGTGTGAATATGAAGAAAATTGAAGGACGCATGTTTTTTGCTATTTCCAATTTAAGGTTTTGGTCTTTTATAATTTTTTTTTTACACCTCTGTTAACATCAGCATAAAGAGTCATTATTGACATGATTTCAGCCCGTTTGACCCTGAATTCAAATCATCACCGACCTTCAGGAGGACTTGGAGACTCCTGGTTAAGAACTCAGCAGGATCCGCTCGTTAACTTTAATTAGATGATACGTGAGAGGTTCAGATTAACTAGAAAATGCAATTTCTGAAGAAATTGCGAGTGGGATTGCTTCAGTCGAAATTGCTAGCGCTAAGCTGCTATTGCAAATGGCTGAATCTTAAAGATATTTAAATAGTAAAAAGGTATGAAGTATGAGGAATATTTGATTCAATTTGAATAAACTCAATTGAATGAATTGAATCATGCATGAGTATTAATTTTGAAAATTTAACGTATGAAAATTAAAATGATTAAAAACCCTGAAGCATGGGAAAGGCTTGAAGAATCCATAAGGTTTAAATCAGTTTAAATGAGTTGGAATTTGTTTGAAAGAACTGAAAAATGCATAAAGAGTAAAAAATATTTAAAACTGGAAAATTAAAAGGTTACAAATCTGGAAGAAAAAGAAGTTTAAAGAATCAAAACGCTTTAAATCAGTTTGAAGGAGTTTAAATTAGTTGGAAGAGTTAAATAATGCATTTTCAATGAATGATTGAAAAAATGGGGACAATGTAAATGAATAAAAATCCTGATTAGACCCCATAATGTCCTCAATGAGCTGAATTTATTAAGCCCTGGATGGTTTCTGTAGCTCAAGGTTTGTGCGAAGAGATAGATGACAAATTTCGTCAAATAACTCTATTGAAGGGTTTTAAATGTAACCCCCAGTACTCTGTGTACTGAGCCTGGCTTCATGTGTCTCATATGGCTGTTAGAAGCAGCTTTCCAGCCAGCTGTGTGTCTCCAGGTGCTCCCTTTGGTTGCCATGGGGACGATAGATGCTTAACAACAGCAGGAGAAAGGAGGCTTGAGGCTGAGAACGTAATGCCCAAACAACGTCATATTTCTCATCCTCTGTAACTGCTATCTCCATGATAAGGAGCTTGTGGGAACCACAAGACCCGGCTGAACACGTTGATACAACTTCTGTGTCTTTGGAGCCAAAAATGCCTTCACTACGATGAGTTAAAAACATGTCCAGTTCATGTTTCCTCTGAAAATCCTCCTCTCAGGTTTATATTGGAGTCAATGGAGAAAGCTGGAGAAATCTGGGGGATGTCTGCGGCAGTTGGTGTCTGCCCAGGCCACTGTGTGTGTCCCATTGCTTTGATTTTTGAGATGAAGAGTGACAGCAAGTTTTGCCATCACTGTACCAATTTTTATCTGTGTAGAGCGAAGTGAGTTGCCACAATCCTTTTGTAAAGACAAAGTTTAGAGGTAAAATTTTCAGCCCCTCTCACTCTAGCTGTGAGGTCACCCACTCTAGCTGCCAACATTCCGTGCAATACACACTAATGTTAAAACCTGAACAGGTCGGAAAATCATGTGAATTTTTGAATTGTCACTGTGAGAAAAGTATGAATGCCATGAAGATGGTGAATGAATGAGTGAATGTCTGAAGATGTGTGAATATTTTAAAGTTTGAATGAAGTTTCTAGGTGAAAGTATGAATGAATGAGAAGAGGTTGAAGTTGACTACGTCTGAAGCCCTTTTCCCATTGACTGCCATTATAATGAAGTTTTAAACTAATCTTAATATTTTGAAAAGTACAAATGGGATTAAAAATGTTGAAGATGTAGAATAATGCTGACGAATTTGTGAATATTTTGGTTTTTGAATGAAGTTTCTATGTGGAAGTATAGAGGAGTTGAAGGCTTTTGAAGTTGTGTGAAGAAAATGTGAGAAAAGGGCCAATTTGAACATTCCGTAATGCATTTCTAATGGGAGAAATGGGTCGGAAAACCTGGAATATCTCGGAAAGTATGAATGTTAGGAAAATTTTGAATACACCCCTGAATGTCCTCAATGAGATGAATCTTTTGATATTTGAATGGTTTGAATACGTTGAAGTATGTGGAAGTAGTTAGGGCACAAAAAACGGTGGAATAATAATAATAAAGATATGAATAACATATAGTGGGAATGCTTCGCAATCCCACTCAATGAATGAACGAATGAACCCTTAATCAGTCACTTATCAATCACTGACGGCGCTCCTTTGCAGCTTATTAACATGTATCGATGAACATCTATAAATGGATTATTGACTGTTGAACCTCAGTTTGGAGCCTCACATAAAAGATGTTCCCAAAAAGTCGTTTTATCATTTAAAGAAGATCTCCAGAGTGCGCCGGTTTCTCTCTCTCGAGCCGACGCAGAGACTCTTCTTCATGTAGAATCCACTATCTCCATGCTCTCCTCTCTGGTCTTCATAAAAACATCTCACAGCTTCAGCTCCAACAAAGTTCAGCTGCACACATGCTGACGAATGTCAGTTTTGGTTTGTTGGCTTGTAGAGGTTGAAGATGAGATTGTTTTGTTTCACCTGGAGATAAAGAGCAAATGTCTTCAACAGCACTGTGGGAAAGGGGCAGGATTAAAAAGAAGAATATCTCAACTCTCAGCCACTGAATCTACACTAAAACTGTAGGAGCCTATGTGAAACTGAGCCTTCTGTATGGTTCAAAGTTTGCATAGTTAAAGCTTGGCATGACTTTACGTGCCACAGACACTGCTGTCAAAATTAAATAATATCAAAAGCTGTGATCATAGTTAACATTTAATCACTTCGGAGAACAACTTGTAGTCAAATGTGTGGACAAGTTTCAACATCAGATTTGTCATTTTTGCGCTGCTTCTATTAAAATAAAGGGTTAAAATGATGTTATTTTTTAAATCAACATTTTACACAGTCTCCCACATTTTTTGAAATTGGAAATGTAAATGTAATAGTTGTGTCACTTAATGTCATGCAAAATATAAAAATATGAAACTATATGGGGAAAAAAAAAACCGATTCCCTGTCATTATTGAGCAGTTTTTTTGTTTGTTTTTTTTATCTATTTATTTATTGTGACAGTTTGTTAAATAAAGGACCTATTTTAAGTTTTAGGGTGTGGCAGAATTTAGTTGTGATCCGTTGCCATAGCAACGTGGAATTCCAGGAGGAAGCCTCAGCCAGCCCTGCAGTGACATCAGCTATGACATCACAGTGATGACATCAGAGCTATGAAAAGCTTTGATGTCTTCACAGTGATGTCATCAGAGCTTTGAGGACTTGAGGTCGAAGGCATTCAAAGGCAGCATGAGAGCGAGTGTTTAACTGCACCGAGGTGAAGAAAGACCAAATTGGACTTTGCTTTAAGATCATCGCTTAAAGAGACGCAATCATTTTAAAACAGCTAACAAACACAAACGCAGGTATGAGTCTCATCAGCACACCAGAGAGGATGGAACTGAATTTTTATCTGGCCTCCAAAGAGACTCTTAGGCCAGTCGTCCGTGCGTTCATGAACCAGCTGACGGCAGAAAACTGGCAGAGACTGGAGACTGGGCGTCTTGACCCAGAGACAAGTACTCGCGTGACAGCTTTGTGTGTAAATGTTATTGAAATTTTGGCTCAAAGTCTGCATGAGTCTCTCAACAGAAGACTTGAAAAACAGAAAGACTGGTCACCAGGATCTGCTAAATCTGTGTGTAAGGAGGACGTGCGCGAATGTTTAGGGAACATGGGTGAAGTCATCGCACAGACTGTGGCAGAGGTACAGGGTGTAGGAGACATCCACTACCCTAAGAGCGGGCGGGTGACAGAGCTCATGGTCACAGCAGTCACAGAGAGAGTCAACTCCAGGCTGTCTAAAACAAGTGACAGTGACGACTCGGAGGAGCACAAGACTTCCCCCACTATTCTAATCAAACTGAGGGGACACTTCAAGAGGATTCTCAAAAACTGCTACGAAAGGATGAAGACAATGTTGCACCGAGTCAAATCAACCTGCACTGTGCAGGAGAAGGAAGAGGTGGTGGTACCCACTCAGACCTCTGTAACTTCTCTGCAAGAAGAGAAACCAGGCAGGGCCGAGTCTACGGTCAACAAATCCCCGACTATTTTTCATGTGACCAAAGAAATCCTGGAGCAACAACTGGAAGAGATTGTTCATGATGCTCAGAGTTACTCCACAGAGGAAGAAGATAGCCTGCTTCTTTCTCAAACCAGCAAGGACTACGAGTTATCAGAGTTATCATCTCAGATTGTTGAAAA